CCGCTCCAGGCTTGGGAAGCCATCCTGGGTTCTGCAGACCATAGAACTAGGCTACTTGCTCCAAATCGCTTGCAGACCCCCTCGCTTCAGAGGTGCTTTTCGAACTTCGGTATAAGACAGCGATTTGCATGTTCTCCGATCCGAAGTGCAAAGTCTGCTTGCAGAGGGAGCCATCTCTACTTAGAATATTTATTTCACTTACCCAGTGAATAACGAGTCAGGCTTTTACAGCCATTACTTCCTCGTTCCCATGTAGGTGGTGGGCTCAGGCCTGTCCTCAATCTCGAATGCCTAAAACCAGGCCACAATTAAACACCTGTTCAGGATGATAACTTTGATGCAGATCCTCGCACAAATATGCCCAGGGGACTGGCTTTTATCACTCAATCTGAAAGACCTTATTTTCACATCCAGACAGCCCCTCGTCACAGACCGTTTTTGAGATTGAGGAGGTGGATTATCAATTCAGTCCTCCATTTCAGACTGTCTCTTTCTCGTACACTTTGGTGGAGTGCGTGGATGTGGCTCTTTCCCCTCTGAGGCAGATGGGAATCTGCATTATGGGCTATCTTCTCGACTGGCTGGTGTTAGAACTTCTCACTCACAGGTCGCTGCTGCTCAGCCAAAAATCATTTGAAAATCATTTTAGCCAAAAGCCTTGTGTCTCCCAGCCAGCCCCTTGGAAAGCCCTCGCCTGTTTCAGATAGGCGTCTCATTGACTGAGATCCAGGTGGAAGGTAGTCATGACAGACACCTCCAACACGGTTTGGGGAGTACTGTACGAGGGCAGATCGGCGTTCGGCTTTTGGTCTAACCTGGAGCAACGCCTGCACATCAACTGCCTCGAGATGATGGCATTTTTTTTAGCCCTAAAAACCTTCCTGCCAGCCTTAAGAGGGCACCACGTCCTGGTCCACTAGGACAACATGACAGTGTTAGCCTTTATACAGTTGTTGTCAAAATTGTACATACAATTTGCAGTATATGCAAAATGTTAATTATTTGACCAAAATAAGAGGGATCATACAAAATGCATGTTATTTTTTATTTAGTACTGACCTGAATGAGATATACGTTTACATATAGTCCACAAGAGAAAATCATAATTGAATTTATAAAAATGACCCCATTCAAAAGTTTACATACGCTTGATTCTTACAGTTTTTCTCAATTGCTTTGGCTCATTTTTCGAAACAATCTTAACATTCTCTAAACTGCTGTTTGCACACATGTGCCAAAGCATTTGCAATTTGCTCAAATCAATAAGAAATTCCAATCTGATGTGAACAAGAAGCTAATTGTTCAGAGATCTGAACTTATTGTTTCTGGAAAAAAAAGTTTCATTCGAGAATTGAGCCAAAGCAATTGAGAAAAACTGTAATACTGTGTTGATGATCCACAGCTTATTTTTATTTGTTGGTTTGTTTTGTGATAGTTGTTCATGAGCCCCTTTTTGTCCTGAACAGTTAAACTGCCTGCTGTTCTCCTTCAGGTCCTACAAATTCTTTGGTTTTCCAGCATCTTTTGTGTATTTGAACCCTTTCCAACAATGAAGGTATGATTTTAAGATCCATCTTTTCACACTGAGGACAACTGAGGGACTCATACGCAACTATTACAAAAGGTTCAAACGGTCACTGATGCTCCAGAAGGAAACACGATGCATTAAGAGCCTGGAGATGAAAGCTTATTGAATTTGAAGATCAAGGTAAATTGAACTTATTTTATCTTCTGGGAAACATGCAAGTATCTTCTGTAGCTTCTGAAGGGCAGTACTAAATGAAAAAAAAAAAGATATTTAAGCAAAATAAGAAAAATGTACACATATTCATTCTGTTCAAAAGTTTACACCCCTGGCTCTTAATGAATTAGTGACCGTTTGAACCTTTTGTAAAGCGACTCTTTCCGCTATATAGTTGGTGAAAAGCAGTACATGAAATTAATATTATGTCTGAATTCTCAGTAATCATAAAATGTAGTGTTCATATATATTTTTAAACATTGCTTTTGTGTCTTATTTGAAATTGCTTTCTGTTTATCAATTTTCATGATGTTGTTTTCTGTAGTTCTAAATTGAAAGCTAAATATTTATGTACTTTTTATGTTTTTTTTTTTTTTATTATGCGTGTGTGTATATGTGTGTGTATTTGTATAAATGTTTTTAGGCTGACTTTTTAACATTCTGTCAAGGGTTTACAGCCATGTTTATTAATGTGCATTGCCCCTGTAAACAAATAAACTAAATTTAAACTAATATGCTTACCTCATCATTTTTAAACTCATTTTATGTAAGCATTTTAATTTATATTCTAACACTTTGAGTTACATTATGTTCTAATGGCTTCAAGAACCTTAATGGGATAATTCATTATGCATTACATAACTACTGGCTGCCTCACTAATCATGTTTGCTAGATCAGTTCTCATGCTGAACAAAAATGAGAATGCAGAGAGGAATCCTCACATGTGTTTATGAAGACACACAAAAACAAGCAAAATTTGGATTTTAGTCTGCAATGCATAACAAACCCAAGGGTGTACTATATTAGTAAATTGGGCATATTTGGATGTAGACATCATATGCTTATTTATTTAAATCAATAAAGGTGATTTGGATACGTAGTGTGTCTTTCAACCCATGGTCAAAATAATTGCACTATACTAGTATCATCTTATTTGTGTTATACCTGCAAACAACTACACCATTCCTGAGATTAATTACCAAATACTCCACAAAGTCCACTTTGCAGGGAACTTTCAGGCGATTGGAAACAAATTTGTACTTTGTCATGGTTAGACAGGTCTGCACAAAAACAAAAAAATATAATATGAAATTCTGTGTAAACTAACATCCTGTTACCAACCAAACCCTCTCTGGTGAAATCCTAAGTGACTTACTTAATTACTTCAAATATATTTTTAGTCTTATTTGGTTTTAATTAGTAGCCCTGGCCCAACCTTGCAGTAACAAGCAAAAAAAGAGCACTTTCTTCTAGAACATGTTTAGTTCTAACTTCTATGACCTTCCTCATTAAAGACTTTACATATTCCCATCCTCTTTCCCTTCAATGGGTTTTTTATGTGTTGAAAAAATATTTAAGCTTTTCCTGCAGATCTCTTTTATGTTTCTCAGTCTGGAAGGAACAGTGCTGGGCTCTTAAATTCCAGTCATCTGCTGAACACCAATTTAACATGACTGCCTAAAACAACACCATGTTCTTCTAAATTAGTGCTAAGGAGTATTTCAATAGTCTTGGCAAAATCTCTGTTTTTTCATGCAGTGCAAATGTCAGAACGCATGAGATTAATTTGCTTTGGCAACAGCACAACAAAAGAAAAAAGGAAAGGAAAGGAACAAAAGAGTGGAATGACAGATCTAGGAAGGTGACCAGTTCAAGAAAACCTAGGAGACCCCCACGTATTGCAGTAATAATTACTGTGTGTCCGTGTGTGCGCATACATTTTGGGGTAGGTGAGTTTATCAAGAGGTTTCATATGTACCTTCTTTTCCAGGTGGAAGAATGATAAAAATGATAATGGCTGCAATGTACACATAAATGATTACAAAAATAATAATAAAAAAAAAATCATTATTATTGACTCCCAGGAAATACATGAAACTATAAAATGCAGTGTGTTGCTTTAGATAAATGTGTTTCTCAAATGAATGCATGTAAATTTTTTCACACACACATAATTTATCAATTTAATTCAAATTCAGTCCAACTGACTTCCTGTCTTTTATCATACACACCCTTGCAAGTCCTGCCAAATACCTAAAACAGTTTTTCATAAAAAAAATATGACAGTCAAA